ATGCAATGGAACGCAATGCAACGCAACAAATAAGACTACATGGCAACTCGAAAGAGTAACGTATCGAAAGTTTCGTCGTACGAGTTTTGAGGAAAGAAATCTTTATCCTATATTGGATCAATCCTAGGACGAATAAAAGCTCAGTAGGAACGCGGGTTTATTCGTCATCGAGAGTTCTTCGAGTATTTACGTTCCATTTTCCATCAAGGTAGAGAAAGTAACAAAGAGAGAGAGAGAGAGAGAGAGAGGGAGAGAAAAGAAGAAGATGAAGAAGAAGAAAAATAATGGTGAATCCTACCCTCCTAACGCAAAACTTGAAATAATAACTCCGATTTCTACAGGGTGGCATATCAATAAGCATCGAAAGGTACGCGTTGAGGGTACTCCGAGAGAGGTTTTCTCATAGTCCTGCATAATACGTGGATTTGCTACCCGCTGCGATACATTTTTCCCTACATTAGGGAAAGAGCATTCGCTCGTTTACTTCTCCAAGCGATTTGTTTAAAGCGTATACTACACACTACACTACTATACTAAACCACACCACACCACTACTGTTCACCTTTTTTTTCCACGCCTTTTCTTTTCCCCGTGTCCTGTTGTACGCGTAATCTACGATACGATACATATCTACAATACATAACGGTTCTTCTTTCTTCATTCGCGTTTTGTTGCTATTAAAAAGAAATATTACAGAACGATCGATAAAGAGATCTGATTGCTAACTCGTATCGATATATCGAACGATCTGAAAAACGGTGATCCATTTTGTATCGCGTTGTGCCCATTTAAAAAGCACGCGAGCTATTAAAATTCAATTGATAAAAGGTAGCATTATCGACGAGTAAAAGAATAAGATGACTATAGGACTAAGATGGGACGACAACTCAAAGGAAGGGAAAAAGGAAAAAAGAGGCAAAAAATAGGGGGATAAAAAAAGGAAGGAAGGAAGGAAGGAAAAGTGGCACCGGGGGCCTTTGGAAAAACGTGGATTCGCGAATTCGTATGAATCGCTAGTTACCGAACAAAGTCCTTTCACCCTCGACCGTAGCCGACGGGGGTGGCAACTGACTGACTTTATTATATGTACATTCGTTTCCTGGTGTTGCGCTAGTACTCTGCTGTTGCTACTGTTGCAATAGTGGTAGAAACGCTAGTGGATAAAGTGAAAGAGGATTTTCGCGAGAGTCGAAGGGATAAAGTGAAGGATATCGGGGGCGTTAAAAGTGAGGAGGGATGAAGGTGGAAAAGCAAAAGAGAGAAAGAGAGAGAGAGAGAAAGGGGTGGGTGTGGGGAGTTGTGGGTGCTGAGGAGGTGGAAGGTAGAGACGGGGTAGTCATTCAACCGTGCGGTTCTATGAAATCAAAGGCCACATTGTCACCGGAATTACCTCCATTCGGAAACGACGTATTCAGGCTACCGGGCGCACGTGGAATTAACCCTATTTGTTTGCCGCCTTCGAGTCGCGTGTAACGAAGCCACGATTTATTCGCATACGCTGCAATCGGAGGGACATCCTGCCTGCCTGCCTGCCTGCCTGACTGCATGGCCGATTTTGTCCTATGTCGTGTGCTACGATATCGACCGATTCTCTATTTCTCTCTCTTTCTATCTTTCTTTCTGTTCTATCTCAACAGAACTCGAAGGTACTTCAAGGAAAAAAAAAAAGGGCTTCGTTTTTCCAACTACTCTATTTTTCTCTTTTCCTTATTTTCCATTCCTTTTCCCCGTCATCTCTTTTCCCTCCCACTCCTACCATCTATCTTACCAACGACGAGAATGTGAATCGCGTCTAATGAGCCGTTGGAAAAGCGTTCTAAGAATAAATTCTAATGGCTAAAACGAGTCCTGTAACGTTAAAAAAAAAATCCCTTCGTAAGAATTTATTCTTCGAAACTTTCTATGAATATATACATTAATATAATGCATATGTAGGTATATATAAATTAAAAACATTTCTTCTTCTTCTTCTTCTTCTGCATCTCTATTTTGATCATTAATCATTTATTTATTATCTATAAAATCTAATATACAAGATCGATACGAAAATATGTTATACGTGTTTTTTGTTTGTAAAAAATTACTTTTTTTTTCATAGTCTTTCGATATACATAAATTGTCTTTTCGATAGAAAAACCGATTGAATACCACGGGAAACGAATAATCGATAATGTAGCATCGTACTATCGGACTGACTACTACTGGCTGCCCTATGTCGAAGCACCTTTTTCATAAAACTTCAGCTTTACAGATGGCATCATTTAATCGAACCATCCTACCTACAACAGAAGGCTCACCGTATCGAATATTTTTCTAACGAGAATACCAAATGGTTTTATTTGTTTTATGATAATTATCACGAACCAATTTAATGATCACGTTACATTCGTGTTATATATATACCAATATATAAATGAATTTTTCTAAAATAAAGAAAATATTAATATTCTCTAAGTATATTCTCTTACACATAAAAAAAAAAAAAAAGGTAAACATTCGAAAATAACATAGAAAGTTTAGAAGATAATCTTACGTACAGTTTCATTCACTCTCTCTCTCTCTCTCTCTCTCTCTCTCTCTCTCGCTAGCGAGAAAAAACAAAAAAACAAAGAGACAAAACAAAAAGAAGAGAAAAACATCCCGCGTAAAGAGGCTCCTACGTGTTCCCGCGCGTCCTTGTACTGTATGTGTCGGATAACCGTAAATACATATACATATATATATATACATGCATGTACGTATGGATTGTATATGTATATGTATATAAAATATCGTGCGAAGGCACACTGAACGCAGGGTGTTCTCTGAGAGGATATTATTTCAAAAGCATCGGGAGCCGTAATTCTCGCGGTCGCATTGAAGACCAAGCCACCGCCATCTTCCCTCCACCCATCGCAACAATAGTCGATTTTAATACACCTTGCTCGGAGAAAACGAAATGGATGGTGAGGAAAGAGAATGGGAAAGAGAAAGAGAAAGAGAAAGAGAAATAGTGAAAGAGAGTCATAGTAGAGTGACAGGGTGAAAAGAGAAGGCGAAAGACATCGAGAATGAAAAAGCAAGGGCGTAGAGTAAAAGAGAGAACAACTATACAGCTAGTAGGTAGGTAAGAAAAAGAGAAAGAGAAAGAGAATCAAAAGATAAAGGAGGACGGGGTAGATGGAGAGAAGGAGGAGGAGGAGAAGGAGGAGGAGGGAACTTCTACATTTGACGTGCGTGGCGCGAACAAAAGTCATGAGAAAGAGAGAAAGATATAGAAACAGAAAGAAAGAGTGGGGGAGGGGGATGAATGAAAGAGAAAGAAAAAGAGAGAGGGAGCGAGAGAGGGAGCGGGAGAGGGAGAGGGAGTGAGGTACGGAGGGGAAAGCAACGTGCAAAAGCGCACGCAAAGAAAAACAGATGAACGTTGCCTGGCCGAAACAATTGAAGGCTGCGTGGAATAGGGGTTGCTGGCCTTTTATGTTGCCCACCCCCTGCGTTCACCAAACCATGCCCTCCTCCTCCTCCTCCTCCTCCACCATTCCTCTATTACTCCGCTTCTTGCTTCTTCCGCCTCTTGCCTCTTCTTCCGCGGCCCCTTTGCAACTACCCCTCCTCCTCCTCCTAGTCCTTTCTCTCAACCCCCAACTGCTACCACCACCATCATCTCAATCTCCACCGCCAACCCTTCCCATTCTCGCGTAGCCATCGAGCCTTCAACGAGAATATTCGAGCGATCGTTCCTTCTGATGAGGCTTTTATACGATTCCGTGAGCTTTTCAAACGGGAGCGCTCGCCGTGTACACCAGGGATAAGAATTTCAATTTCTTGTTTTCTTTTTTCTATTCCCCAACCCCTCCTCCCCTCCCCCCCTCTATTCCTATATCTAAGAGCAATTGTATCGTTCACCTGTTCCGCGTGTATCTATACACGTACTGCATCGTCGAGTTCTAACCGTGGACCAAAATATTTTTCATCGTTTTTTTTTTCTTTTACGATTAAAAAAGATTCTTGTACACATAGCAATGAATAAAAAAAAAATTGTTCTTACGAAAATATTCGGTATAAGATGCTGGACAATGTAATAAATGAAATGGGGTCTATGTAAAATTTGTTCTTTACCTACGTGTCACAAGTTTGACATTTATTCAAATGCATTTATACAACTTATCATAGAAAAAAAAATGAATGAACGGTAAAGATGATGATGATGATTACAGGAAGAATCTTCTGTAAATGTTAACGATTAGAAAAGTAATAAATCGTGTTATTAGAAATGATAAAAATGTTCTACTCGAACGATTAACACAGAAGGATGCAGTTAGAGAAAATTTGGAACACGGTAACATAAATCAGGACTTGGTCCCTCGTTCCCACCCATCCTCTCACCTAACGCATGACAGAGATACGGCACTCTAAACGGCCACTCAGTCAAAGCCAAACGTCATTGCAACGGGTGCACTACATCCACCGTGGCGACGTGTGTCACGTCACGCAAAATTCAAAACCGAAATTCCGCGCATTGTCCGCGCGTCAGTGCGTCACTCACACGCGACTTCGTGTGTGCGGTTGGTTCTACAGTTCTCTCTAAATCATCGGCTGGCTGGATGGTTCGTCGAAGCTTCGATATAATCGACGCTTGCTAACCTCCACCGTTTGTTCCTTCATTCGTTCGTTCGTTCGTTCGTTTGTTCGTTTGTTTCGTTAAAGCTCCAACGAATCAAAGCTTCCGTTCGATCCCTCGATCCTTCGTTTAAAATGCGCCCCGTGAGACAAGAAAAATAAAACAAAAATAAAATCGATTTAAAACACCTGCCTCGTATACTTAAAACACCATTTTTACATCCTACTTCTGTTTACTACAATCTTTGCTTAAATTAAACTGAACAATAATCGAATCGTTTAATAAACATATTCAATCGGCTAACTATTTTATATTACGGATAAAGACCAACACATGTTTACATTTATTTTCATGAAGGAATAATTAAAAATCACATGCAATTGATCGAACAACTCACCGGTTTCTTTGAATCCTCCTTACAAGCGTTGTTGACAGCTGTCAGGTATCCCAAGTTTGAAAACAGGCTTTGATAAACGCACTAAGATTTTTCGATAAGTCGATGTAATTCATACTTGTGGTTTTTCCTTTTTTTTTTATACACACTATTTTACACACTGACAAATTGTTTAGGCACTTTGTTCACTGTTGCAAACACACACCACACTGATTTTTAGTTCGTTTTCTTTTTTGTGGATTACGAGGAATGAAGATTTTGATCGGGGAAAGGTGATAAGAAAGGAAGAAGGAAAAAGACGGGGTGGGAGATTCGGAGGGGAAGGGGAAGAGGAGAGGAAATAAAAAAAAAACGAGCCAAGGATTAAAACGAAAAAAAACACACTACGAGTTTACACGCGACCGACACACCGACGAACCTTATCGTCTCACGCGCTACACGTAACTGATCGGAGTTTCACGAATCTCGCCGTATTCTCCCCACCACCACTACCACGCGCACTCTATACCGTGCTTCCCCCACTCCGAGTTTCTACCCTCGATAGTACTGAAGTGTCTAAATACACGTTACGCGGACCATGCTACGAATAAATGTTTACCCCTTCTCTAATCGAAATTAAGTATAATTATTACAAATTTTTTTTGAATAAACAATAACCTTATTATCAAATTAATACAATTGTTTTTCTTAATTAGATTTAATTGTAAGCGAAAAATTAACAAAAACCGCGTTCATTCGACTATATTTTTATTTATATTTTTTATATTTTTTATTATATAAATTAAAAGAAATATTAAAAAAATGTACGTTTATGGTTCATGATTTGTATAATAAAGAAAGGAAAAAAGAATGACACGATCGATATTATATTTATAATTTTAATATAAGACCTGTTCTTTAAGAAAGGAAATGAAATTCATGAAAGAACGAGGGTCGATATGTTCGTTCTATTGAAATCCCTTTGGTCGTTCGGTATCTAGAAGAAGTGGACTTCAGCCCTTATACGAACGCTAAAGAAGGGTCGGTCAGTCACCCTCGCGAATCCTAAAACTAGATCGACCTACGTAGCACAAAGCATTGTTACCGCAAACCTTCGATATCAGCATTGTTGATTCATTCGAGTTCGTTGAAAGGAATTGTCCCTTCCATCCCTACGCACCTCAGTTCACCGTCTTCACATATTTTCATTGTATCCTTAAACAGAAGGAACCTATTCCTTTTCGTACGTTTCTATCGGACACAGGTGTCATAAATGAAAGGAATGGTGGAAGGGATGCAACATTTTTGTATAAGCGTGCGATTAGAACGCGAGCGAATGACTTTCTTTTCTATTGAGATAAGAAAGAACGAGAGAGTGAGAGAGAAAGAGAAAGGGAAAAAAATAAAAAGAGGATGGCATCGTAAGACCTTACGCTCTCTCGACGGTTGGAATGCGATGGAACTTCCATGGGCATTGGAATGTCGCGAAATTCCGCGAACGTAATCTCGAGTGCCGACGATGCCGTGGAAGCTGCGATAAATTGCACAGCGATTCGAAGCCGAGCTTTATTCGTCGAATCCGAGAGTAGAGTCTATGATGAATCGGCTAGATCTCAAACGCGATTTTAATATATCATAAACGAGCAGCATCGTCGATAAGAATAAAGCGGTCCTCCTCATTTCTTTCATTTCTTTGCAAATTTTTATTTTTATACATTTCTCGGTTAGAGTCAATAATAACGATAGTTGTTGGATTTTTTTTTAAGTAATATAACGATCGAAAAACATCAACGTGATCATATCTTTAAAAAATATCCTTAATGCAATAAAATATTATACAATTATGTCTGAAAAATTTCATTCGTTCATACTTCATACAGAACTAATAAAAGTATTATCTTTTCTATTTCTAAATTTATATAATTGTTTAATCGAACAGTTTGATAATCACGCATCTAATCGCATTTTATTATTACGTGAAAGAGGGATTAAAATGTTCATCAACGTTTGATGTAGCATATTTTAACGAAGGATAACGAACATCACACGTCGAATCTGACTAATTCGAGTTACTATCGATATTAAACTCATTATAGATATATATCACAATAGCAAGCACGAGTAAACGATTATTTCTCCGCAGAGGCGTTACTGAGGCACACAGGAAACGATTAATAAGCCCTCTTGCGTTGCCTCCCGACGTTGGCTTCTTCGCCGAACGAAATGCAATTTATAATTCGACCGACGTTCGGCCAACGGCATTTAAACCGTACTACATTTTCGAGAGCTCCGGATATGATTATAATTAATTAATTTTACCGTCGTTGACCCTGCTTAATATAATTCACCCTTTTACTCCGCGCGAGTTCTCCAATTCCACCTGTTGTACGCGGATTTTAGAGTTTCGCATATCATTAATTATAACAAAGATTAATTATTCGAGCGTAGGTAATATTATCTTTTATGCGAGTTGCCGAGTTATACGAAATCGATATCATTGAACAGATATTTAATAAAAATATATATCTGTGTGTGTGTCACATGTGTTATATATGTGTATATATAATAATATCTAAAGGAACAGAGAAATATTTCTATTAATTTGATTGATAATATCTTAAATATACTGCTAGCGAGAAACATCGTTGAATTAAGAGAAAGAAAGTAAGAAAGAAAGAAAGAAAGAAAGAAAGAGAGAGTTTCGTTGCATGCCTTCGCGTTACGTTCGATGAAACCATTATTCTATTTGCGTCAATGAATTATTCGAGTACCCCATCGAGATATCGGATTACCCTACCGGTCGGATAGTCAATACGGCCCATTATCGTCGACATTGTCCTCGTCGAACTGTCTCTTGATGGCGAAAGCTTTACTCTATAAGTATATATCTATAGATAGATAGATAGATAGATAGATAGATAGATAGATAGATTCTTCTACTTATAGTTAACTTACATTTATATATAAATATAATATTAGATCGGCTGAAAAATTAATTTTTTTTCTTCTTATTAATTTTACCATGCACAATATTTGCATTTTATATTATTTTATTGAATTCTTTATTGAATTTAATATAACAAAACGAATCGTATATATGGGACTAATTAAATAAAACATAATATAAAAATTATTTAACACCTAAATATTTTTGTCATTGCCTTGATAATATTAAATATAGGATTGAAATATGTCCTTTATTTTTCGAATGAAAAAGGCTGACTCGTTAAACGACAAAGACGACGAGGAAAAAGACAAGGAAAATCGACTTTCCTTTCGACAGGAACATCGTACCGATAGATAAATGGAGAATCGAAAATCGGTGTAAGCCGAAGTCGGGTGAATTCTGAACGTCGCTTTCTCTCTACCTTCTTATCTTTAGGTATTCGATTCGCAATCCATGATCTTTCAGCTGCGACTGCAAAAGCACCGGTAGACTTTCTCGTGTTCTTTGGTTGGCTGGCTGGCTGGCTGGCTTGCTGGCTGGCTGGCTCACCGACATTGCTTTTTAAGAGAACAGGAATAAGAAGAAGAAGAAGACGAGTAAAAGAATGGGTCTCGTAAATGTGATAACGTCGCGAAAGAATACGAAATAAGAGCGATTGTGTTACTTGCTGAAATTCTAAGTTAACACGTTTTTTCTTCTATCTACATTTGTGTGTGTGTGTGTGTGTGTGGAAGGGTATATACGCGTAACTTGAAAATTAGCGCGTACGTGTTAGTAGAGAAGAAAAAATAGGGTGAGGAGGCGCGATGGCGATGAGTGAGGGAATTGGGGGAGGGTCGGTAGTACCGAGGCACCTACCTATACATTTAAATAAATAGCGTTTCATTATAACTTTTGTGCGCGCGTTACTGTCCGCCTGACAATGCCTGAAACAAAGCGCCCTTCCATTGTTTTCGAAATAAAAGAGCGCCGGCCCCTCGGCCCGGGAACCGCCACCCCCTCAACCTCCAGCCCTACACCCATCCACCCCTCCCTTTCAACCACCAGCATTGCCACTACAACCAACGCGAACGCGACACGAACGCGATTCACCGGTCTCTTCATCCACCTTCTTCGAATCGCCACCGCCATCGTCTTTTTCCAATTTCCACCTCGACCTCGCACGTGACTTCTTCTTCTTCTTCTTCTTATTCTTCGTTTTCTTCGTTTTCTTTTCCTTTTTCTTTCTTTATGTTTCTGTCTCTTTAAAATGGCACGTGGGATTAATCCCAGATTCCCCACCCAACTAGACCCTCCCACTCTAATCAGAAATTTTCAACTTGGAAAACTCTTCTTTATGAAAAGGAGACAGTTATTCTCGTTGGCACTGTTAGAAATCTTTTCTATTAAACCACGCTGTAGTATACTATTGTTCTTGATGATAAGTATCGATAAGGAATCTATCCAAGATAGTTTCTCTATCATCATTTCGTTGTGTTGTTATTGTTGTTGTTTTCAAAGTAAAGATTTTTATGTTGACTTTTAGATTCGTTTAGTACGAATTATTAAATTAATGAAATTAAAAATGTATAAATATACGATCCCATATAAATGATAAGGTAATATCATGTAATATATATATTATGAAGAAATCAATTAAAAATCCAACACGAAAAGTAGTGAAAACTATGAGTCGTATATATATATACTATATCAGATGCAAGTTTTCTTGAAGAAGAACATAAAGGTTTTCGAGGGAATATAACCAAGGAGGATATTGTGCACGCGGCTCGCTTTGTAAGCAACGACTGACGTCTTAATATCGCGGGGAGAGAAGGATTAACCGCGAGACCCGCCTAAGAATGGAAGGATCATGGTAGGATTCTAATTAAACGGAAAACAGCTTCATTAAGTTCGTAACTACCTCGGGGCACACTCTACGATACTAAAGGCAACCTCCTGATGGGGGAACTCTCCTTTTGGCGTACCTATAGGCTATGGTTAACCAACATGGTTCGACGAATCATCTATCCTTTCGCAATATGTTACCTAATTATTGATAATTAGATGCATCACTTGCTAACCGACACATAAATTAAATCAATTGTATGATCGTAATATATATAAATCATGTTTATATTATATAATATCTAATAATTCGTATAATATATTTATACATTAGAATATATAAATTATTTGTTACATTCAATTTTACATTCTACTCGTATAATGATTTATATATAAAAATGAAAGTACAATAGACCGATTTCTTTGTTCCATAGTCTTAATGAAAGTACCGATAGAGAATCTTTCGTATAACTATGTCGTAAGAAAATAATAGCTTCTTAATTGATCGATCTCCGTTCGATGAGAAAGGATCGAAGAAATCATGCAAATCATAATGTCATGTCTTCTATGAAATCAAATGTATACAATCATTGTAATAATAACAAAAAAAAAAGAAAGAAAAGAAAAAGAGAATGGTCGTTTAAAACAATTAATATCGTTAAATAAAAAATGTTATCGTTAAAGTTTAAAAAAAAATTCGAAATGACAGA